TTTCCCTCCTCTTCTTTCCCTCCTGCGGCATGGCACCCAGAATTGGTCCCCTTTACTCACCCTTAGCAGCTAAATACAAATGTGGAAGAAGAGAGACGCAGGGCGATTTTAGACCAAATTCTGATCTAAAGGCCAGACCAGGTCTGACAGTAGACACCATCTGTAGCTCTCTTCTTGCGGTTGTGCCTCATTCACTTGCACCTGTAAGTGCCAATGCACAGACACCCTCATCAGCTGCTTAAATTCTGGGTTGATTCATGCAGAGAGCATCGCTGCTGGTGGAGGCTGGACACAGGTATTTCCTAGGTCTGCAAGGCCGGTGCTCAGCAAAAGCATCTGTGTTTGTCCAGTAAGTCCATGCACCTTTTCTATACTTTGGTGGTGTGTAATTGAAAAGGTAATTTGTTACCTCTTAACTTTTCATATCACTGCAGAATTTCTGATATCCTCATCCTTCAATAGATGAAGGCAATTACAGCTGAAACAGCAGCTTGGAAAAGCCTGACTTCTTTTGATTCCTATATGAAATCAAATCTTGAACTTGAGTTTGCAAAAAGAAAGGCATCCCTCAAAATTCTGGTTAATATTTTGGAAGGGTTATTCCCTTGCCAATACAAAGTAGTTCTCTTTAGTCAAAGCCAGGTAAGCCAGAGCTGGTGGGAGAGCAAATAGATGTAGGTTAGGAAGAGTACATGTAGTCTGGGAATCAGGGAGAGCGAGACTTTAGGGCATGCCTCCCGCAAGAGCAGCGCCAGCCTGCGGGCACTGCAAGCAGGCTGGCGATGCAGGTCACTTCGTGGCTTTCCTCTTCTTCACCCTGCTCTTCTGTGTGTGTTTTTCTTAAAGCAACCACATAATATCCTGCAGAAGCGCCTAATGGAGACAAATTTATCAAAATTACAAAGCAGCCGAGGCAGCTGGACTCCAAAGAGTGATATCTCAGCGCAGACCAACAAGCTGAAACAAACCAAACTGGGCAGCTCAGAGAAAACGGAGGACGAGGAGCTCATAGTGGTGAGCTGCCAGGTAATAGTCCCTCTCCAGCCTTGTGGGTTTTTTCCGCCGGATTTAATTTGTGACAGCCTCAAGCTGTGCTCTTGTTCTCCGTATTTCCCAACGAGGGTTGTGCTCCCCCAGGGCTGTCACAGCTGTGGGGATGTTCTCCCTCTGCAGCTCAGGGCTGCTGTGGCACAGATGCCCACCTGGGTATCACAGAGAAAACGGGTCTGATGGATGTCTTCCCTTGGACATCAGGGCAGAGCAAGTAGCCTGGCTGGGGCAACATGCTGAAACACTGAGGAGTAGTTATCCATGGTGAATCTCTGTGCTGACAGCCTACTTGTTTTCCTAAAATGTCATCCCTCTTTTCTTTCCTCAAGAGTAATTTCTCATTTCTCCTCCTTAGCCCCATGCTCCTTTTGTATTTCTCGCTCTCCACAATATCCCCTCCTGCCTGGGGCTGCCCCTTCTGCACTCCACAGAGGCAAATGCTGCCGGAAAGGGCTCAAGACCCAACACCATGTTGTTCAGTAGCACCACCTTCTTAAAAAACCATCTCAAGAGGCAGCTCCTGGGTGCCTGGAGTGGACGAGGCTATACCCTGCGGGTACTGAGCGTGCAGTGGAGTGGGTACAGTCTGGTGGAAGGAGATGCTGGTATTTTGGCGGGGACTGCTGCGTGCAGAGTGGAGACTTCAGACACCTGGGGCTCATCCTGCATCCCACGTGTCATCTCACGTCTCTGTTTGCTCTTGCAGTGTGCGGGGAAGGAGCTGAAGGCTGTGGTGGACACTGGCTCGCAGCACAACCTCATGTCATCTGCCTGCCTGGACAGGCTAGGGTAAATATCTAGCTGGATTTCTGTTTTGTGGGAACTGGTGGCACCAGGCAGCACAGGCGGTGCTCCCAGGGCTGGGGCTTTGCTCATGCCAGCGATGGCCATTCTGGAAGGGAGTGCTTTGGCCTGTACCCGGGCAAGCCCCTGAGCCTCCTGTTACAATCAAATCCTGGCTTATTCTTAAATGTCCTTGCAGGAAGCTGAAATAGAAAGCCACTTGTACCAACCTGTTCACCTCTAAGTAAACGCCTTTAGAGGGCTGGATGCCTATGTATTTTTTCAACGCCTGCCTATTTGTAACATGTGAAATAGCTGAATGCCGCCATGGCCTCTGTGTCCCCAGGGCAGGCGTGGGGCCAGGTGAGCCCAGCGCAGGTCCCCGCTGTGAGGCAGGGACCCGACTGCTGGCCCCGCTCCAGCTGGCGGCTGCAGCACTGCGTGCCCCAGCACCAGGCGTAAAGCACCTGCGCAGTGGTGTACATGCGTGTGCTCCAGATTTGGTGTTTGATGCTACTCCCAATGACAAATTTCTACCGGTTGAAGCGAAAGGAAATGTATTTACATAGCATTAGAGAGCTGACTGCCAGCCATTTCCAGCAAAACTCCCACTGATCTCTGGGAAGGAGGATCAGGCATCAGCTCACAGGGTATCAAGGAGATTCTGGCACTTTATTCATTCCTTTTTATCGCCAGCTATCAGGGATGATGCAAAAAGAGGTTGCAGTTGCTTCCCAAGCACTACTGCGTGGCCCTGAACGAACAGTGCCTGCTTTCTGTCCAGACAGAGATTACTTCTTTGCACAGTAGTGTTTAGTGGCTGGAAGGTGGCTGCACCTACTACAAACTTGTGGCAACCTGTGGAGCTGCTCAGCCCGGTCGACAGATGACAACTGCATTCGGAGGGGTCTCACCTTGCAAGGTGCTGTACTGGCTGCTCGAGGTGTTTGAGCTGCGCAGGGATGCTCTGCGACAGCTCGTCTGCTCTCTGTGTTACTCACACGTGTCCTCTACGTAGTTTTTGCAGCACGGGCCTGCTTCAGCAGTCCCGCCCTTCAAAGAGCGCTTAAGAAACAGGCTAGAGCCAGTGTGTTTGTTTAAATCCAGCCCTGGAAAGCAGAAGGACAGAAGGGTCCTAGGCGATTTTGCTTTTGCTCCCACCAGGGCAGGAGGGCTTTGCTCTGCCTGCGGCTGCGGCTCAGTGGCTCTGGGGACAGCCCTGCTGCTGCAGTCCCCAGGGACTCAGTGCCCAAAGGCAGTGTGTGCATGGCCGAGGCATGGGCTCCATTCCTCCCTTTTTTAAAAACCTTTTTGCACCTTGTTGTGGTGGGGTTAGCTCTCAGGTCGCCACAGCGTAAGAAATTCCCTGCGGAGGCGGAGGTGCAGCTGCTGGGTGAGCAGCTCCAGCCGCTGCACGGTGCCAGGGACTTGCCACTTTCCAACCCAACACCGAGATCACGTGTCCTGCATGGTTCTCCTCGCCTTGCTGCGTTCTCCTAGCTGGCTCTCAGCCACACTTCGTCCACGTGCTATCTGTCCATCCTTGGGTTGGTCTCAGCTGTGATGAAGAGCTGCCTTGAAGGTGGCTTTACTCCGTTGCCCCACTGCAGCCTCTCTGCAGCCCTGGTCACACCTGGGAACACCACCTGGGCCCACTGGTGCCAGAGCAAGGAGCCGTAGAATAGAATCATAGAATCATAGAATGGTTAGGGTTGGAAGGGACCATAAAGACTATCTAGTTCCAATCCCCCTGCCATGGGCAGAGAAATCCTCCACTACACCAGGTTGCCCAAAGCCTCATCCAACCTGGCCTTGAACACTTCCAGGGATGAGCCATCCACAATTTCTCTGGGCAACCTGTTCCAGTGCCTCACCACCCTCAATGTAAAAAATTTCTTCCTTATATCTAATCGAAATCTGCCTCCTTTCAGTTTAAGTCCATTGCCCCTTGTCCTATCACTACACTCCCTTGTAAAAAGTCCCTCTCCAGCTTTCCTGTAGGCCCCCTTGAGGTACTGGAAAGATGCTATAAGATCACCCCAGAACCTTCTCTTCTCCAGGCTGAACAGCCCCAACTCTCTCAGCCTGTCTTCATAGCAGAGGTGCCCCAGCCCTTGGATCATCTTCGTGGCCCTCCTCTGGACTCGCTCCAGTAGCTCCATGTCCTGCTTGTGTTGGGGACTTCAGAGCTGAATGCAGTATTCTAGGTGGGGTCTCATGAGAGCTGTCCCATCACCAGCTGTATCTCGCCCTGCCTCCAGGGCCATGGCCTGTGCCCTGCGGTGGGGACAAATGGGGGAAAACAAAAGACGACAGCCAAAGCCCACATGTCTTCCCTCGAGTGCATAGAGAAGCCATGGGAGTTGACTGCACCCGAAAAAGCCACTCCAACCTGTCTTGGGCCACAGTAAAGCCAGCTCAGGGCCAAGGAGCTCATAAACTTCTCCTTGGAATGTTTCCCACTGCTTTTTAAGGCCGGTCCCTAAGGGAAGCAGCCAAGAGGACCCAGCTCCTTCTCTCTGCTACTCCTCCTGGTCCTTGTACCTGCACTGAATGGTATGTGGGCAATCCTCACCTCAGTGCTGGGGCCTCTGCTTCTGCGGGAGGCTGGTGCCCCCCAGGACGGATGGACAGACAGACAGACACACGTACTGCTGCAAAGCAGCTCAGCAGAGAGGTACCTCAAACAGCTGAACAGCGATGCAGGTTTTATCCGAGGGAGAGATCACAGCCTCAAACTGCCTTTCCACTAGATTCTCCTTTGGTTTAAAAGAGAAACTGGAGCTAAATAATTAATCAGTGTTGTCAGACTGGTTCAGGGGGTGCAGACAGAAGAAACGGCTGTACCTGAGATATCCCTGACATCCTTTTTTCCTTTTCTTGGGCTGAATGTGATTGATCTGTCCCCATTTCCTCTGAATAAACCCAGCAGCAGCACCTGCTAACAAGCATGGACCGGGCACGCTGCCACAGCCGTGAGGTATGGGGACACGGTGTCAGCACCAACACTGGTGGGAGTTGGAGTGGAGCATCTCTTACACCCACGCTGCATTAGAAGCAATTTTAGATCAGCAGCTTCCCCAAGTCTTGAGGAAACGTAGGAAAAAAGATTCTTTGGGTAAAAAGCAAAATCCAGCTGTACACAGAGCATCACAGAAAACCTGCCAAGAAAGCAGCTTTCTGATAACAGCATGGTAATACGGGCAAGCTAAGAGCACTTCAGGTGTAAGTACCCTCCAAATGCCGTTTGCTCCTTGCCGGAGCAGCCAAACCATGGCTGTGTCATGTCAGAAGTGTTTTCAATGCGCAGGTTAAAGGAGCATCTCAAAGCACTCCATGGTGAAGACGAGATGGTTTCATTGCCGCACAAGGTGAGGGTGATCGGCCAGATCGAGTGCCTGGCCCTCACGGTGGGAGCGGTTCCCGTGGAGTGCGCTGCCCTCGTCGTGGGTGAGTGTGTGGGTGCTCCTCTGGGTACGGGCTGGGGCTCTGCTCCTTCTTACCCCAGGGGCAAAAATGAATCTTCAGAAACATGTTAAAATTGAAATAGAAATACTGCTTTTCTTCAGCAAAAGTCCCTGTTTGGCCCTTCAGAGGCGAGGGAGGGAGGGAGGGAAGGAGGATGTCAGGGCTGTGCTGGCAGCACCAGGCTCACGCTCTGCCGATGGAGCAACCACTGTCCCCCCACAGGCACATCCACCTGCCCTCATTCGATCACGTTCCTTTCCAGTGTAACGTGGTCCCTTTATAAACAGGGTTTTATTTAGCAAAGCAGCTGTGAAGGAAGGATGGGGTCACTGACAAAAAGCATGGGAGAACGTTTTGAGTCTATAAATCTGAATGTTCCTATTTTTCAGAAGACAGTGAGAAACCCTTCTCCTTTGGGCTGCAGACACTGAAATCTCTGAAGGTAGGGGCTTTCCAGCAGGGCTTCTTACCCATGCTGGGGGAGCTGGGACCGCTGTGAAGTGCCGTTTTCTCTCTTACCTAAAGGTGTTTATTCTCTGCAGTGCATCATAAACATGGAGAAGCACCATCTCGTTCTGGGGAAGACGGACAGGGAAGAAATCCCGTTTGTGGGCAGCGGCAGTGGTGTGGCAGGAGAGCAGTAAGTCGGTTGGGGTGGTGAGCTGCGTGCGCACTGCTGACGGCAGTGCCCCCGGCACGGCCACGCAGCAGCCCCCAGGGCCTCGCTGCAGGCCAGCAAAAGCGCAGAAATTGTTTTCATCAGCACATCGAGTTTTGAACCAGAGTCCCTGTCTTTTTCAGCAGCCTTTTGCAGCTTTTGCTGCTTTTTTTTTTTTCCAGTAAGCGTTGTACAGCAACGGGGGTGTCTGAAAAGACAAGTACAGGGAAACGCCTTAGGAACTGTACTTTTTGGAGGTCATTGGGAAGACTCCTTGAGCACTGCTTTGACAGTGTTTCCAAACAAACCTTTTTCTGGAAAATATTTATGAAGCAAGGCAAATAAACCCACATGAATGTTTTGCAAAGTGCAGGAGAGAGAGATCCCACCTGGAGATAACGGCGTTGTCGCTTCTCCTCATGTTGCCTCGGCTGCCCTCCTGCCAGCTGCTCTTGATGCCCTGGACTTTTTCAGCCTTATCTCCCTATAGAAAGAGAAATCTGTGCTGCCTGCTGTGATACCTCCTAAACGCGTGACGGCTCTGCGGTCAGTCAGGCAGGGCAACCCCCCTCCGTCCAGGTGCTGTGTGGGGCTCCTCCTCACTGACCGCTGCGAAGAAGAGATGTATCGCTGGCTCCTGCGTCTGACTTAGGAAACCGGCAGGGACTGGGTGCCTGAGAAGGGGATTTCCACTTAAGTGCCTCTGGCTTTACAGGCAGCACTTGCAGTTGCTCAGCGATGAGCGCTGCAGACACAGCCATCTAAAGAACGTTTCCTCGCTGCATAAGAAAGTGTCTGTGATGAATGACGTAGGGCAGCATCTTCTTTAGCTGCCTGTCATGACCAGCCATGGTCATTTTGGATGTCCTGCAGCCCCCGTGCAGCTCGAGCCTTCTGTGCTGGGCACCGCCGAGCCTCAGGAGCCTGGGTGGGAGCAGGGAAGGAGCAGACCTTCCTCAGCGAATTGTATTTATGCTCCTTGGGGAGTTCACAAAGGAGTGTAGGGAGTCGGGACGAGAGCACGGGCACCCACCCACCATGTGCCCAGGTCACTGGCCACGGATGCTGCCAGCGCCCGAGCCCGGGGAGTGCCTGGTATGGCACCACAGGGAGACTGTGCTGCAGCACAAAACCACGGGATGTTTTCCCTGTCTCCTCTGCAATAAGGATGCAAGAGGCATAGTGTAGTTCTGTTGCCACTGCAGTGATGAATTATTTCTTGGTACCACATTCAAGGCCAAATTTTGCTGCTTTTTTTTTTTTTCCTCCCCATGAAAAATGCCTATTTTACTAAATGTCTTTTCCTTCCTGTTTCAGCAGTTCAGAGGCATAAAGAGAAATTGAAACACCGTCCCCACACAAGAGCTTGACATCAAAGAAATCCTGTGCAGCTGTTCCAGATGAAACAGCAGTGTGCTGCTTTGAAAACACTTACACTAGGCTACAGCTTGAGTAGAGCTAAACAAAATCCTGTTCAGTAGCCAGTAATTTAGAGATATTGTCATGTTTATCTATAGGTTTTGAGAAACAAACTTGTGCTTATTTTCTGGACTTTTCTATATAGTGTTCTCTTTATTACAAACAGTTGGGAAAACCTTATTAATTTCTTCTGATGAGAAATATACTTTTTATAGTGGCCTCCGATGAGTAATGGTATTTAGCTGTGATTAGAGGCTATCAGAATGAAATTTTTATTAATGATTTTTCCAGGGGCTAAGCGTTTATATTCACTTAATTGATATTGCCACATTCAAATGGTCATTACCAGGAAGTTACTCAGAGTAAAATAACAACGCTAATACCATCTAGGAATTATAGCTCATCCTGTTAGCGTAGTATTGTTGCCATGTAATTAGGGATGCAACTGCTGGCTTGATGAGAAAGAGCAATTACAGAATTATTAATGGGTTATAGGCTTTTCTGCAGTGGTGTGGCAGAAACAAAAAGCAACAAACAAGCACAAAAGTACGTTGTCCGGAAAGCATCAGGTACAGAGCCTCACTGGTATATCAGGAACCAAACGGCCCCAACGCGCCCTCGGTTTTCCCCTGCTGCCAGGACCAGTGCCCCTGCCTGCCTGCCCAGCACCCAGCCTGAAGCACCAGCAGCACCCGGGCCTCACGCTGGTGCGGGTTGTCGACTTCAGTTGGACTTTAGTGTCGCTGCCAGAAATGCCATATTTTTTGTATCTATTTACAAATTGCCTGGGATCTCAAGTACAACACTAACCTTGATCACCCTCAGGGCAGGTGGGAGTTTTAGCCAGGACGAACATTTCATTTGGTGTTACTGTCCTGCAGCAGCAGGGTTGCTACTTCACGTGCTGCTTGCTTGCAGACCAGAACAAACATATGGTATTGCTTGGAGGAGCCTGGACTCCTACAAAAGCAGCTTTCTAGATTTTTAAAAGCTAATGGGAATTAATTACTGTCATCTGCTGAAGAAGCATCTTTAAAATTCAGAATAATATCCTCGTGATGTTGTGTATCTGCCGAAGGCCAGTCCTGCTGCTGCTGGATCCACAAGGGCCAGCTGCGTGCTGTAGGAGTGGGAGTGCTGCTCTGGCAGCTCTTACTTAGCCAAGCCCTTTGGCCCCAGGC